CACACGCCCAAGACACGATAAAACAAAACAAACACAAACTGGCCAGTGGTCTAATGGAACAGGCTCCAGAACGGATGGCGATCTAGGGAAGTGTCCGGGGGATACTTTGGAGATCGGCCAAACTCACGCTAGGGCTCTGGGGTTTGAGAGTGAGTGGGGGTTGTAACCGGTGCTTGTGAGTGAGTAGAGTAGTCGGACCATAGACAGAGAACCGGTGGGAGAGGGTGAAATGACGGCAAATATTATAGGGACGTTGCAGTTATTGCTACAGTTGGTATTATTCCTTATTATTGTTGGTCTTGTCATCATTGTTTGTTGATTGTTTTCGTTCGTTTATCGTTTTTTTGGGGTTATTTACCGTATACTGTTGTTTTCAGTTGTTTATTTTCTTATTTGTTTTTGTTGGTGTTGTTGTTATTTTTTGTTGTTAGTTTTCGTTTATTGCCGTTGTTCATTTAAACCAATTGTAATAGTTTTAGATTGTCGTTTATTGTTGGATTTTCTCTGTTGTTCAAATTTAAAAGTTGTGTTGGTTACTGTCGTTGTTCTTTTTCGTTCGTTTGTTGCTGTTGTTGCTGTTGTTGTTGCTTTTGTTGTTGTTGCTGCTGTATCTGTAGTTGTTTTTGCTGTTGTTGTTGAACAATTCAAGATATTCATTTCTTTTAGGGACAGTCACTGTACAAAGGCCGCATTCAGAAAGGATCAGATTGTAATGATATAACCGCCGGCGGAGATCTGACGTGATCCCGACTTTAAAGCTCATTACTTTACTGTACCTGTTATGTCCAGATAAGTACACTGGTCCAGTATGGTAGGTGGGCGTGGATCTACGTCTGAACTCTTGAGATTTCATTTCGGATAACATGCTACGCAATGATATACAGGTATCCAAGGGGAAACAGGGAACCGAAATAGACAGCTGATAATCTGCATGTCTGAACAAAATGAGATACCGCCCCCTCACCCATTTCTGGTTGGGGGTCACTCATTGCATAAGCTATATCGTATCTGAAGTAACGGTGACGCCCTTTCATTATCTCTCCTAGTCAACTAGTTTTCTCTTTCCCACCAATCTGCCGAACGTGAGTGACCAATGGTAAACACAAAATAACTCCCCAATTGCCATAACGTGGGGGCTGCCTTTGCAAGAACCCGCCACTTCTTGTGCAATAATATTTAAGTGGGTTTTTTTTAAATGGAGATGTTGTAATACACACCCCCATCCCCAAACCGACATAATTCAAGTCATCAAGGAAGCAGGATTCGACCCTGCCTGTCAGGACTAACCCGGAATGAAAGGAACGCAGCGTCCCAGCAGACTGAGGTACAGTAACTGAATAAACACTCTCACCACACAGGAATCGAGTTTGGGTCTTCTGCGTGCGACAGCGAAGCGCCTAACTACTGCACCACTGACGCCGATATGTTAAACACATGCTAAGACCCAACTAAGACATAAACCTCCCAATTTTACGGTATAGATCTAGATCACATGCCTATATAATAATACATGGCACGTTGTAGGCAAGCGTAAAAGTGTTTGAATAAATGAATAGAATCTAGCTAGATGTGAATGAAACCTCCCAAGAATACGGCAGTTGCCCAGTGACTTAAAAAAATATCTAAGTTCGTATGGTCTGTCCTTGTCCGAATTCTGTAGAGGGTGCGCTCCGACATAAACGCTAGCTGTAGAAGTCGGTGGTGTCAAGTTATCACGGCACCGCGCTGACAAACGATCACTTTCCCCCCGCGAAACGCGAAGATGAGTTTTTGATGAAAACTGGCTCGATGTCGGCGGTGGGTGGACGCTATCCTTCCTCAGCCGCGCCCAACTCGTGTCCTCGGCCCTTCGTTTTCCCGGTCTTCCTCTATTTCTTCTTCTTTTTCCTCTTCTTTCCCGAATTTTTGTTGTTGTATTTTATTGTGAAGTTATATGTACAAATGTTTTAACTGTAGTGTTATTACTTCTGTTCCTGATTTTGTTGTTCTTATTCTGTTTTTTATTCTTTATTTTCTTTTTCTTAATCGTGTTCTTTTTCTTGTCCTGGTTCTTCTCCTTCATCGTCATCTTCTTCTTCTTTCTTTCTTTTTTTCTCTCTTTCTTTCTTTCTTTCTTTCTTTCTTCTTTATAAAGATTAGAATATTCCATCCTTCCCTTAGTGAGAACAAAATATCGCTACCACTTCTTTTATTCTTTATTTTAGTAGAAAACGAAATATTGCAAACCTTTCTTTTCATTTATTTTAAAACGTAAAAGGTGTGCCATTATTTTTTAAGCATCAAGCTAGGCTATGATGCGAAAGACATTAGATCAAATCTTACAAAGAGGCGTTCCTGAACTTGCATCATTTGGGGAGTTCTCAGAACTTTCTATTTTACTTGCCGCGTTGATGTTTGGAGATGTATTTTAAATTTGTTAAAGAATATCGATTTACATTATCTGCATCGGTCCCGTTTGTCACGGCAAACCCTACTTAAGTGGGATATTGTATCCCAGCAAACAGGCGCGATGGTGCTCAACAACATTTAATACGTACAGAAACAAGTTCCTTTGAGGTACAAACTCACGTGTAAACGTAATTAGAAGGGAGAAATAAGCAAACACCTTGCACTAGTGGAGCCCACTCTATAGTGTTAATTTGCTAAACAACAACATCAAAAACAAAACAAAAACAAAATAAAGGCAACATTATCCGAAATTTATAACACTAGCCTCGATCAGATTATTCATTAAATTTGTTCAAGTTGTAAAGAGGAGCATATCGACGCTGTAACGCCCAGTTATATGTTATAGTAGAGGTTTTACGGCGCTCGCTACTGCATAAGGTCGTATGGGCGCCAGAAGATTAGAGGTGTTACAAGAGAGTAACAAACATAAAAAAAGAAGGAGGGGAGATAAGGACGATAGATGTTTGATAGGAAAGAAGAAGCAAACCACACCAGAGCACCCACCAACCACCCCAGGCATGTCTAACCGTTATGACTAAGTAGCGCCGAGACACGGCCGAAAAGGGGGCAGTGAAAAATACAGAAGGACTAAACGACTGGATGTTGACAGCGATTTGACAGTCCATTAATCATCTGTTCGAAAAGATAGATCTGAAGCATCGATTCAGTGGAAGAAAAATACTGATATGACTCTGTGGTTGGCATAGTTCTAGTAAGAGTTTCAAAGCACTTGCAGCACAAATACGTCTTAGAGTGTTATTCAGATGAGGAAGAGGAAAGTTGCTTTCGACCCTGTCATTTATGCGTTGTCTTTAATAAAGTCCGCCGTGTACACTATAACTACTGATGTCTGTGGTGCAGCAGTTAATCGCCTTGACGTCACACGCAGAAGACCCGAATTCGAATCCCCGAGTGAGGGACAATTTTCTGTCAATTATCTCAGTCTTTCTGCAGGGACTTTGGTCGATTTGGCTCTGACAGGCAAGGTCGAAGGCTCTTCTAAAATGATCGAAATTGAGTTGATAGGGGCGTCCAACACATCCATTTAAACTAACTAGCAAACAAAAAGCTCCCCAAAATTTCCACACTACAGGGACACAAATAATATACACATACGTCAATACAAACACACACAGATATAAGCATACACACATTGGTCTTTTATAACCCCCTCCCCACCCCAAAAACAACAACATTATAATAAAACAAATCAGCGCAGCACGCCTACAAGTACAAGTACTCATAGACTACCTAGGATTGCTTGGTCAAGATTCGTTCTATCAAACTATCTTGTCAGTTTAGGTTGAGATACTGCGCTTGCTCTCGTGGGGCGCGTTCGGAGCGCGAGCTATTTATCACGACCCTCGCAACCACAAACAACGATTGACGATATCTTCCACAACTAGGATTTCATAGAATTACGGAGACGACGGGAGCAGCGATACAAGCAAGGTCAGAGACGGCTTTAGACTGCTGTCGTGAACGGTAAACACAAATAAAAAGGAAAGAAAACCACTCAATCCTGCTAGAAAGATTGTTCTAAAACGACCGATTTGAAGGCGTCGCAAACACTGTAAGCCTCGTTCATCGTCAACTCAGTCCAGATCAAAAACCCGAAATCCCATTTGCTTTCTTTCAGAGCACTCAGTTCGCCACTGGAACATCACAAAATCCTTTTTCTTCATAAATCATTTACCATTCTCAAGGCCCACCGTCTCTAGTCCATGCAAATATCACCAACTGCAACTACTTACCAACCTCTACCTTCTCATGTACGGACTCTATAAACCCCAAACACCTCATTAACAGCATTCTCAGTTTTAAAGAGCAAACAAACAAAAGCTGCCTTCCCTGCCAAACCTATCCTCCCCTGCTTACCGACCTCTACCTTCTCATCTATAAACTTTATCAACTCTACCCATCTCGCTAAGCCCTACCCTCTCGATTATCAACTCCGCGTTCCTTGGTAAAGTCCACTTACTTTTCCAAGCTCTGCTTTTTACAGACTCCATAAACCCCACCCAAAATCACTTAGTCTACTTTCTCGCACCACAAAGGCCACCCACCTTGTGGAGCCCTGCCTTCTCAATACTCTACAAACTCCGCCCACCTCAATAAGCCGATTTTCGTTTATAAACTAAAAAATCTCCACCTTCCTTGTAAGGGCCCACAGATATTGTCAAGTTCCACCTTCTCCAGATTCTACAAACTCCGTCCACCTCGCTAAACCCTGCCTTTTCCAATCACAAAGGCCACCTACCTTGTCAAGCACTGCCCATTTCAAACTCAACGAACTCCGCCCACCTCGCTAAACCCCACTTTCTTTCACAAAAAAGCTCCACCTACCTTGTCGAGCTCCGCCTTCTCCCGTATCAACTGCTGCTGAATATCGTCCTCCTGTCTCTTCCTCTCTACAGCGTCCATCTTCATCTTGACGGCGTTGATGCGCTTGATTTCTGCCAGGTTTTGCTGCAGACGACGTACGGCCTGGTCCTGTTTCTGGCGCGAATACTCGGCATTGCGAACGTTGGAGTAGAGCATCTGCTCCTGTTCCTCGCCTTTGTTCACCATTTTCTGAAACGATTGTTTTAGGAGAATCATGATAAGTGTTTTATGGGAGTTGTTGTATTAGTATATTACGCCCCCATCGACGAAACAACATTAATGAGGGAGGAGACAAACTGATTCAATCATACTATAACGACTAGACAAAATTGTGTCAGATAAATCCACGAAGAAAGACGAAAATACTGAATAAAAAATAATGTCTTCCCCAGTGGAAATAGAAGTTGCATCTTTAGCAAGGGAGGCAAAGAGACAACCGTAACATCACAGACGCTGGTAAAGAAGCCAGTATCCAGTTATTACAGTCCTTCTAACAAGCTTTTTCCAGAATCCTCAATTGAAAGAAAAAGAGTGAAAACTTGATTAGAGTATATTCTTTATCTCTTCTGTGCATTTATTCTGGAAAGGATAGACAAGTTGTGGTAGATGTCGAAATTCATCGAAGGTTAAGTTTAGCAATCATTATTTTGACAGGTAGCTCAACTCTAAGCATCTATCTATCTTACTGAAAACGTATCTCTCTCTTTGTCTCTCTGTCTTTCTGTTTCTCTCTGTCTCTCTCTCTCTGTCTCTGTCTCTCTCTCTCTCTGTCTCTCTCTCTCTCTCTCTCTCTCTCTCTCTCTCTCTCTCTCTCTCTCTCTCACTCTCTCTCACTCTCTCTCTTTCTTCAGAGAAAGGTAAAAACCCTCACTCACCTGGAAAAACTTCAGCTCATCTTCATGCTTCTTCCTCTGGGCTTCGTGGTCTCGAACCCTGAACCTTTGCTCCCACACCTCTTGCTGACCGTCCTCTTTCTCTTTCTTCTGCTTCATGTGGGCAGTCAGGCGGTTCACTCGGCGGGCATTGTGGGCCTGAAGTAAAGACATCAAAATGGTAGGAGTTATCATTAGAACATCTTTTGAGTAGGGGTCATCATTAAATCATTTTATTAAACGTAGGAGTTATTATTAAAATATTTTTTTCAAACGAGCTATCATTCCTGCATTTTTTTGTAAAATTTATCTTTCAAACATTTGTTTCATAAGAGTTTTCATTTTAAAATTTTGTTCGTACACGTGATCACTCAGACATTCTTTTCGAAAGAGTCAGAATGGGCATATTCCTTCTGTAGGAGTTATCATTTAAACCAATGCTTGCAAACCCTGACGACATCACACCCAAGTAGGCAATTTGGTTATACTAGTGGGTTGCAGTGACATTTATTGCCTCACTTAGAAGTACATGAAGGTGATAAGAAAGAAAAAAAATTATAACCTCTTAAAGATGCTAAAAGCTGCCCCTGGCTATAAAACGGGTCACAAATGCTGTTCTGGTCTAAAACGTAGCGGCCACCACATTAAGTTTATATATAAATAAATACAACAAAACTATTCGCTGCATCACCTCAACTTTCTGGTCAATCTGGCGAGCCTTGAGGTCCATGCCAGCGTGGAAGGCAGAGTCGTTGAGTTGTCGTTGTGTGGTTGTGTTGTCCTCCAATCGGATCTGGGTGTCTGTCAGATGTCTTTGCTCTGTGACAGATATGAAGTGAATCATTTAATGTGATGCTAGACTCAAGTATTGCAACACTTTAACTTTATGGTTTTCTACTTTATTTCAATTTGGAAGACACTGCTTTAAATCTGCTAATCTCAACGTTTCTTTGTACCAGCATTTATCTCTACTGGTATACTGATGCTGAACACAGAAAAGTTAAACAGCACTGCAGAGGCGATTAGTCGTGTTTACAAAAAAATGTTAAAAAACAAAACAACAACAACAAGAACACCAGCTGTTGACCACACTCCCATTTCCCCTACCCAGTCTACCACACACAGATAAACAGACATACAGAAAAACGCACACCAAAACACACACACACACACACACACAAAGCAAAAACATACATACATACACACAAACACATACTCGCAAACAAACTCATACATACACACACATACAAACATACCCACCCACTCACACCCACACATACAGACACACTAATCCTGAACTCAAAAACATTCACTTTCAAATAAAGTCAGCAAACACAAAAAAGCTTCGGCATTGAGTGAAACCCGCGGGACTCACCATCTCGCTTCTTTATGTCGAGATGAGCTTTAGTGAGAGCTAGGTCCGCATCGAGCTTCCTCTTGCTCATCATGGCTTCTTTTATATCCCCGTCACTCTTCCTGAAAATCAGCACGGTAAAACACACATGCTCTTTACAACACATTTTTTTGCAAGAGATCTCACAGAAGGAGTTTAACGTCTATGTCAAAATTAAGTTATTCTACGACAATTAGGTCAGTTTGTATCATGGTGGACCACGGAATGAATGACCCTGGTTTGAATCTCCAAAGGGGCATTCTGAATTTGGGATGTTTTGGGGAGTTTTACAGCTCTCTATCCATTTAGCTTGCTTTTATCAGAGATGGAAATTCAGTTCAGGGGTCCCATCCCTTAAATAAATTTATAGTGTTAAAAGAGGCATTTAACTCATTTTGAGGAAAACAATTTTCGTGTCATTTACTGTGTATTCATTTACTGAATATCAATTATTTTATTCAAAACAACAATTGAACATGAAGCAAAGCGGCTGTTGTGCCGAATTTTGTTTTTCATATACCACTCACACTGCCTGATCTCAATTTATACTCAACTGAATAAACAACAATTTTATTTTTTAATAAAACAACTATCACATTATAGAAAGGACCTATTTAATAATCTATAATAAAAAAAGAGAATAAATTACGTGAGCTTATGGTCAAGGTTCTTCTGAGCACTCAAATCATCGTGGATCCTGCTTGTGGTGTCTCGCTTCTTGTCTCTGAGGGAAACAGATTATAGAGGACACATATAAGATATGTAGAATAAGATGATGATGATGATGATGATGATGATGATGATGATGATGATGATGATGATGATGATGATGATGATGATGATGATGATGATGAGGATGAGGATGAGTGTGTGTGTGTGTTTGTGTGTGTGTGTGTGTATGTGTGTATCATTGTGTATGTTTAATTGTGTGCGTATAAGTGAGAAGAGACACAGAGAGAGAGAGAGAGAGAGAGAGAGAGAGAGAGAGAGAGAGAGAGAGAGAGAGAGAGAGAGAGAGAGAGAGAGAGAGACAGACAGAGACAGAGACAGAGAAACAGAGAGACAAAGAGAGAAAAAGAGAGAAAGATAGAGAGAGAGAGACACAGAGAGACACAGACAGAGACAGACACTCAAAGAGATAGACGTACGGGCAAACAAATAGACAGGCCGACAGAGATACACATAGACTCAAATATAGACAAAACTATACACAGACACACAGACAGGCAGAGACAAACAAGAAGAACAATAAAAAAAATTTTTAAAGCAGTCATTTCAAGTTCTGAATAACAACTACCATACATCTACAAGTAGATCTACCTGGAGTAGTCATGTTTTTGAACCCGTGCCTTCTGGGCCTCCATGTTGAGAGTGATGCTTAGCTCTGCCAGCTCTTGTTTTAGCTTGTGCTGCTCCTCCTAATAAAACAGACAAACAGAATAGATGGTACGCCAGTTAGGTCCGGTTTTGTTTATGGTTTGATAAAGTAAAGGTTTAACATCCCATGCAACCAACGGATTGGCTAAAACAGCACCAGGACATGGATGGCTTGTGTCTCTATAAATAAATTATTGATGGTCGGGTTAACATCTCATGTACAAATGTAACTGTTACACTATTAGCTTATTTACCAGATGGTAACAGCGAATTTAAATGAAAGATTCTATTTTGGAAAAAAAATGGCCTGCAAAGTTGCATCCCCCTGCCCCCCGCCCCTACCCACCACAGCCATCACCATCTGCTATAGGCTTCCATTGGCAAGGAAATACAGCGTATCTCTGAGCTCCAGTAACAGCAAATTGGACTAGTACAATGTACATAACATTAGGTATACACAAAGAGAGAAAGAGAGAGACAGAGAAAGAAAGAGAGAGAGAGAGAGACAGAGAGAGAAAGAGAGAGAGAGAGAGAGAGAGAGACAGAGAGAGATAGAGAGAGAGGGAGAGAGAGAGAGATAAAGAGAGAAAAAGAGAGATACATGGGAGAGGGGGGGTAGAGAGAATGAGACAGAGAAAAACAGAGAGAGAGAGAGAGAGAGAGAGAGAGAGAGAGAGAGAGAGAGAGAGAGAGAGAGAGAGAGAGAGAGAGAGACAAAGAGAAGGAGGGAGAGCTGCACATTATAATCTCGTACGTATAAATGTACGTCTTGTAAATCATAGAACATCCTTATTGTACCTCCTTTTGCCTCATCTTGGATTCAAAGTCCTGACTAAGTCGATTGACCTCTGCCCTCTTGAGCTCTATAGCGCTTTTCTTGGCGTGGTACTTCCGCTCTAGGTCCGATCTATGTGATTGTATACAAACACGCGAAATCTTATAATTCAAGGATGACTATGCTTTCAACAATTTCAAAAGTACAACTAAAAAGGCGGAGTAGCTGAAGAACTTTAGAAGAGATTAAATTTGATTACCTGGTGAGGAAATTACCGATTACTTTATTAGGAATACCCAAAAACAAAGTCACGGAATTCATAACGACATACAAATATCAAGATCAGTTTGCCTTAATTGAGTTTGGCAAACAATAATCACATACAGCAAACAATTTTGAAAAGCAACACATATGAGCTACTGAAAAGAAAGTGTTATGCTGAAAAGCACAAGCACGTCTTAATGCTATTTCAGTATGGTATGGTGCAGGAGTACTGTATTTGCAGATCTTTCACAAATGTATTGAGATTTTATTAATGTGCGTTTACATGATGGCAAAGAAAGGTTTTTGATAGCAGTATAGACACCATTGAATGCACGGCAACAAGATGACCTAAGCCTACATATACGGTTTATGTAAATGTACTCAAAAGCACTGATACTTTGAAAAAGTCAATTGGTTAATGACAAAGTTCTACCGAATGGAACAGCAGAAAAGCAATAATGCACTATGTATGATGAGCAAAGAAAAAAGGTAGGCAGAAAAACATCCAGACAGACGGAAAAAGATTTGAATTAAACGCATTATCATTAGTGTTTAGGCAAATGCCATTTAAGAGGATTTAATATAGCCAGATCTGCAAGAACAGACTGATGTGGTATCTATAATGAAAAAATGTTCTGAATTATACAAATACACTATAGCTAGTCTGGCAAAAAACACCGGACAGAGAAGGTAGTTTAAGATGAGGTATCTGGTTTAGATAACGGTGGTTGCAAAACATCAAGCTTACTATATAATGGGCTATGAGAAAGTAGATAAGAGAAAGAACAAACAGTGAAAGTCGAAACACACCGATATTGTGGTGATGTAAATAAATTAAATAGAGTATGTGGTATTGTAACAAGAAGAAAGTGAAATTGTACTTAATTTAAAACATTCACTGAAAATGTGAGAATGGAACCATGATTGCTCTACTGAATAGTTGATAAAACAATGACATTCTGAATGAAAATACGTTTAAATTGTGCTTTTCAAGTTAGAAAAAGATGTAACATTGCCCATGCATGCACGCAAGCACGCACACAAATTAACAACGTCCATGTGAACAAATGCGTACACTCGTATATTGCAATCTCTCCAACGCACAAAAGGAACTCCCTGGCACCCCTTCTCTCTCTCTCTCTCTC